ACTTTGTTTTGGGTGGTGTGTTTTTTTTTTTTTGCCTTTTTTCTATTATTTTTCCAATGAAACATCTTGGCAAAAGTTCTTGAATTTCCTCCAGAAGCTCATGTTTCAATTTTAGATTGAATGTTTAGGTTGAAAATAAGAGCCCTTTATTATAAAGTTCAGCTGGAGAGAACTGACTGCAGTAACTAAGCTTTGATATGTGTTTAGGTTTGTGTGTTGGGTTTTTATTTTAACTTGGGAATAACTTTGTGCATTCTCAATAATGACTACAGACTACAACTTTTTGCTTGAAATACTCAGTGCATAGGTCACATTAAAGAGATAAGGTCTTGTCTCGTGGAATAGCTCCCATTGATGTAGCCCAGAAGATTCCAAGGGCCTCTCAAATGACATAAATACAGGATGACTGCAGAAGTACAGCCAGGCCAGCAAGCAGCACGTAGCTGCTGCACATCAGGATGGAGGGGAGGAGGGAGGGAGGGAGGACAGCTTGGAGCAGAGTCAGAGGATGAATGGAACTGCTCTTTGTGAGTGAGTGCTGTGGCATCATCTCATGACTGCAAACAGAACAGAAACGCTTCTTGAGACAGGTCCAAAAGGCTTCTGCACAGAGCATCTCATGATTGATTGCCAGGCTGGTTGTGGGAGGCTCTTTACCAGGATGTTTCACTGACAGAGCATTGTGAGGAGGGATGCAGATGCAGCACAAAGCTGTGCTCTCACTGGGACTGTTTGCCAGAGTGTAACACGACGTGCTTGGGTAATGTGCCTGCAGGAGGGGTGTAGCTGGCCTTGGCTGACAAGCTCCGTGGTGACGCACTGGAGGGAAGGGACACCATCCAGAGGAACCTTGACAGCCTGGAGAGGTGGGCCAGTGCCAACCTCATGTAGTTCAGCAAGGCCAAGTGCAAGGTCCTGCACCTGGGTGGGGGCAATCCCAGGCACAAATCCAGGCCAGGGGTAGAATGGCTGGAGAGCAGCCTTGAGGAGAAGGACTTGGGGGTGGGAGGAGATGAGAAGCTGGACATGAGCTTGCAGTGTGTGCTGGAGCCCAGAGGCCAATTGTGTCCTGGGCTGCATCAAATGAAGTGTGGCCTGCAGAGCCAGGGAGGTGATTCTGTGCCTATCCTCTGATAAGACTTCACCTGCAGCTCTGTGTCCAGCTCTGGAGCACTCAGCACACGAGAGAAATAGAGCTGTTGGAGAGCATCCAGAGAGGGGCCATGAAGATGATCCAAGGGCTGGAGCAGCTCTGCTCTGGAGACAGGCTGGGAGAGTTGGGGTGTTCAGCCTGGAGAAGAGAAGGCTTCAGGGAGAACTTATAGTGGTCTTCCAATACCTAAAGGAGCTACAGGAAAGGTGGGGAGAGACATTTCACCAGATATTGTAGTGGTGGGACAAGCATTTTAAACTGGAAGAGGGGAGATTTAGGTTAAATATTAGGAAGAAATTCTTCACCATGAGGGCAGGAAGGCACTGGCCCAGGTTGCCCAGGGAAGCTGTGGCTGCCCCATCCCTGGCAGTGTTGAAGGGCAGGTTGGATGGGGCTTGGAGCAACCTGGGCTGGTGGGAGGTGTCCCTGCCCATGCAGGAGGGTTGGATTTAGATGATCTGCGGGGTCTCTTCACACCCCAACCATTCTGTGATTCTGTGCTGGTGTTGATCATGGATCACTGAAAAAAAGCAAAAAAACCCACATAAAACGGTACATGTTTGAATTTGAAAGGCTTCAGGCCACCTTCAGCTGTGCTGGGTTGACTGTTAGCTGTGCTGGGTGTAAGGTTTGTCAGAGTGCTGTGACTTGCCCTCGGTGCCTCCCAACCCTCTGCTTTCAGTGCTTACCCACTGGCTCTAGAAAGGGATCTGGGCTCAAGCTGCTCCCCTGAGCTGGGTGGCGTGTCTGGCCAAAACTAGTGCATCTGCTTGGAGGGAGGATGGGCAGAGGCTGGTGCTGTTGGAGGGGAGTCTGTGGTTGTGGTGAGGTTTCTATTCAACTTGCATTTTGAGTTGTTGAAGACTCTCCATCAGCGTCATCAACAGCTGTGTGGGTACAGATGTCGTGACTGGTGCTGTTCAATGTCTGTTCTTATTAAATCTTAGCATGTAATGTTGAATTGGGACAAAAGATGTTCTCTAAAAAAAGGGAAACTCCTCTGTATTTCCTTCAGATCTGTTCCCTCCTCCTTTCCCCTCTGCATTTTCCATGGCCTTCTCCACTTTGAAGAAATATTAAGAGATCACCTCTCATTTTGTTTCCAAGACTTGCATGAGAACTTGGGAGCTTGTCTACTGGAACAAAGTGTATTAGCTACAGAGTAGAGTAAACTTGGTACGTGTTTCAACATGGGAAGTTGAGCAGCAGTAAATGTGGAACTGTTTTTAACTTCATTACTCCTAGATAATGACACAAACTAAACTCAGAAAAGGCCCCTTCTGGCTGGAGTTTCCACATGGTTGTGTTAGTAAAACCACTTGCTCAAGTTAGATAATTTGTAGTTGTTGATTTGCATTGTATTTTTAAAAAAGTTTATTTTTCACTTTTTAACCCAAGACAAAGGAATCTGTTAATTTAAGTTATTTATGGGGTGTTTTCACAGAATCATAGAATGGGGTATGGTTTGGAAGAGACTAAACATTATCTAGTTCTTCCCTGCATGGGCTGGGACACCTCCCACCAGCCCAGGCTGCTCCAAGCCCCATCCAACCTGCCCTTCAACACTGCCAGGGATGGGGCAGCCACAGCTTCCCTGGGCAACCTGGACCAGGCTCTCACCACCCTCACACTCCACAATTCCCTCCTCATGTCTCACCTCAATCTCCCTCTGCCAGTTTTCATCCATCCCCCCTTGTCCTCTCCCTCCCTGCCCTTGTCCCAAGTCCCTCCCCAGCTTTCCTGGAGCCCCTTCAGGCCATGGAAGCTGCTCTAAGGTCTCCCTGGAGCCTTCTTTTCTCCAGGCTGAACACCCCAACTCTCCCAGCCTGGCTCCAGAGCAGAGCTGCTCCAGCCCTTGGATCATCTCTGTGGCCTCCTCTGGACTGTCCCCAGAAGCTCCATGTCCTTTTCATGAAGACCTGTAGGACAAGGGCTTTCTTACTTTGTTCTGCTAGCACTGAAACTGTCCAAACCCATCCATGAATATTAACTTCTTCAGAGCAAACGGTTGTGCCAGAATAGGCATGAATTACCTTTTCTGGTATAATGTGCTTATGTTGATAAAGCAAATTCCTGCTATTCAGGAACACATTTTACTGGAAGAGCCAGATCAGCCCAAGGGGTTTCTCTTGTGATAATTCTGTGTGTAGCAAAAGGTGAAAATTTATAGGGGATGGTTAAGGATAAGCTGACTGTCTTGGGTTGTTTTTATGCCCTTTGCTATAGAATTTCCCTCAGTAACTCTATAGAAATGATATTTCTGCAGCAGAAGACAAGGGAAATTATTGGAGAGTGAGTGAGCATTTACACTTCTAAGTCTGGAAGGTCCTGAGATGCTGGACTCCTAATTAAAAGGTCAAAGCAACTTCAAGAAACAAATGTCTAAATATAACCTCAGCTTTGGACAGGTGGACTCTGATAACTAAGGCTTCACAAGATGGAAACAACAGTATATATTGGAACTCCTGTAACTTCCCTAAAATAGATTTTTTTTGTAGCATTGTGTGCATATTTGTAGGAATTTGGAATGACTGCTAAACCCACTTCTGCTTCTGTTGCTCCTGTGTCAACTTCCAAATTTAAGTCAACAAGCATCTGTGCCTTGCAGTCCAGTCTGTGCCTTGTGCACTTGTGTTTTGCTTCCCAGTTCATGAAAAAATCTGCATATTCAGCCCTCCTTTCTGAGTTTCTTTTTTTCTACAGTGCTATCCACTACTACCGTTTATTTGATGCTTTATTTTACAAAGTCATTCTCTGGGCTGGAGTCTTGCTGCCCATATGGAGATGTGAGCATGAACCAGATGCTGAGTCGATGGAATCAGCTGCTCATTGTGCAACTTGCAGTCAGATACCTGCTGCATACCAATAATCCTCAAGGGTACCAGACACACAATTCTTGGTTTCAGGAAATGACAAAAAAAACAAGTAGAATGACAGTTCCTTCATGTAAATCTTCTGCTAGTCCATAGAAACTTGAAAAATGTCTTTCCTTAACCCTTCTTTTTCCATACAGGGCTCCTTTGGCTGGATTTAGTGGCTTGGATGGCAATCAGACTCCTAGTATGATGTCATGACCTGAGTAGGGCAACCCAGGGAGGTTCAGACTGAACCCCCCTGCTTTCTAAACTTCTCAGAGAGGAGCCTCAGTGAGGCTGGATCCAACCTCAGCCTCAGACCTGGCCCTTCCTGGGAGAGTGACTAAAATGTCCCACTGGAGTGTCCAATATCCCTTGATCAGATTAAGGTGAAACAACTCTCAAGGTCTGTATTTGAATATTAAGGTTAATTAAAACTACCTAAGGAATACTGATCCTTCAATTATCATCTCAGGCTGCGTGATCATAGAGGCTGGTTACTGAGATGACAAGAGTCACAATACAGGTGTGTTCAGGCTGCACGACCTGAGAAAGTCGTGGTCAGGGCTTGTGTTACTGAATGGTTTTAGGAGGGAAGAGAGAGAGAGAGAGAGAGAGAGAGAGAGAAGGAGATAAGGAGAAGAAAACTTGAGAGAGAGAACAGAAAATCCTGGTCCTGGGTCCAGTGTTGGGCCAGTGGGGGAGAGTTGGTGTCATTGAGGCTCCCCACGCCCACTCTGCACCCCCCAGGTTTATAGGGGGGTTTCCTTATTTTGCCAGGATGAGTAAGTGTGATTGAGTCATAAGATTGAGTCATAAGTGGACCTGCCACCTCCACCCCCTCTGCCCCTCGACCATTGTCTTTATCTCAATCGTTGTCATTATCTCAGTGGCTGGACATGCAGCCTCAGGCCACATGGAGCCATCATCGTTATCACCATCCTCTCAGGCAGAACTTTTGGGATGCAAACGAGACTGTTTGGGGGGTTACAATGGGATTTCCACACCGCTTCCTGCAAGTGCAGGTCCTGAGGGCTTGTTCTTCACAGGTGCTTGCCATCTATATTCTTTAAAATTGTGATTCCTGTAATGTTCTGACAATCAGCACACCTGATGCCTTCTTGAAAACATATCTTCTTTTTCTTTCAGGACAAACACCATGATGCTGCTCATGAAATTATTGAGACAATTCGGTAAGTGTTCAATGCAGACATGGCTGGAAACCTTTCCTGGGTCTTAAAGCCTCTCACTGAATGGATGTCTGGAGACAAGGCAGAAAGGAGGGCAGCATTTCTAATTATAATTTAGCAGATCTAAATTATTTTCTAAGCTGAGTTGATATTGTTGAAGGACAAATCTCCCTGTCAAACAGGCTTTGTTTCCACTTGCCATGTTCTGTTCTCTTCTGAACAGCATTAAAAGCAAGTGGTGATACTCAGCTTTTGGTGTTGAGTGGCAGCCTGTGGTTGACCTTTAGAAGAGCAAGGTTAAAAAACCATCATTGGCATGAGGTGTTAAGTTCTGGTCTTGCATATCCTCTTCCCCACTCTCTCCCTTTTCCGGGGTTGCTGTGTTGTTGCAGCATTGTTAGCATTTGCCTTCTTTGGGAGTGATGTTTTAGCATTCCTCTGAATTCTGCTAGTGGAGTTGGACCAACGTTGCTTGAGGCTAAGGGTGCAAGACAAATACAAAGAGTAGGAAGTTGAGCATTTCCCAACAGGGGCAGTGGTTATGCCAGGGCTTGCTGTTACTGGAACAGGATTAGGTGACTTGCTGTAGAACAAATACTGTTAAATGCTAATACACACTCCCCAAATACCTGAGGGATGTTTATGTGTTACACACATTAAAAGCTGTTTTCATCAACACTTTTAGACCCTTAGCATCCTCATCGAGGCTTCCCTTGTCTGAGGGCTGTACCTGCCACAGGTTTCAGTGGCTGGATGGTGCAGATACAGGTGTGGTACAAATAAAAGGTGTTTCGTCTGTGTAGCCACCTGAGCTTAAATTTGGTCAGTCACTTATAGCCTAGGAACAGGTAGTGGGCCTTGTTTGCTCCCAGCAGGAGTGGGAGAGCTAAGAGCTTGCATGGTAGTGTTGATAATACCACCTATATACGTGAAATCAGCATTTTTCCATGGTCTGTGGT